CCTGACATCCATTCCGTGTTTTAGAATTTGGGGCCATTTTCCACCATTCCATGTTTTGGGATTTGGAGTCATTTTCCGCCATTCCACCGTTCCACTGTTCCACCGTTCCACCGTTCCACCGTTCCACCATTCCACCGTTCCACCGTTCCAACTTTTAGGGTCGCCCCTATTTTCCACCATTCTTCCATTCCACCGTTCCAGCTTTTAGGGTCGCCCAAAGATGGAGGCCTGCCATGAAAGCGTCGCATTTCATGATCAAATTAAGTCTCTTTGTATCAGCGGTGGGACGCACGGAAATGAACTCAGTGGCGTTTACCTGGTGAAAAACTGGCTGAGGAATAGTGCTATCGAGATTAAAAGAGATTCTTTTCGAACTCATGCTGTACTAGCGAATCCCAGGGCAATCGAACAATGTGTGCGCTTCATTGATGTGGATCTCAACAGACAGTTTAAACCAGAAAATCTGTCGTCTCCTGTTGAGAAAGAGGTGGAAAGTTGTCCATATGAAATACAGAGAGCTCGAGAACTGTATTCACAATTTCAAAATGAGGCCGGAAAAAAGGTTGTTGATTTCTGGCTTGATCTTCATAACACAACTGCAAATACGGGGCCCTTTTTTATAATGAACAGCTCTATGGAGCCATTTCCGTTGCATGTTGCAGCACAAATACAAATGGAGTTCCCAGAGCTACGCGTTATGCTCTTGAAGGAGGGAAATTTTGAAGGGCACCATTTCAAAGAGGGCCAAGTTGAAAACAGGAAAGAGGAGCTAAACAATGCCTCTCAATTTCCCACTCAAGGTGTTCCAGATTTAGGTTTGGAGGGCATGACTTTGGAAATGGGTCCATTGGCACATGGCACTTTAAACACGGCTATTTGCAATTTGGCAAAGAAAATAGTTTGTGGTGTACTTGACCAGGTGGACAAGTTTAACAATGGCCACGAATTTGAGGAAGAGGAAATTGAAGTGTTCAGATCACTGGGCAACATCCATTTTCCTACTGATGCAAAAGGTGAACTTTCAGCCATGGTATCACCAAATGTGGAAGGAAATGACTGGAAACCACTGTATCCTGGTGACCCACTCTTTTTGTCATTTTCTGGTGAGACCATCTCCTTCACAGGAAATTCTGTGGTGTGGCCAGTTTTCATAAAATATTAATGAGGCTGCATATTTCCCAAACAACATAGCCATGACAATCACTACGAAGGAAAAGATAACTGTTCCAGCTCTGAAGTTGAAAACAAATTAAAATTTGACTGTTCCTTACATCACGAATTCACATCAATGGTTATAAGGTTGCAGACTGTCTGAGTCTCAAATTCAACACTACAGAAGTTTATCTCAACCTATAGTTAAAAAGGTTTTGAAGAAACTTTTTTAATGATTGAAGTGAGACATAAGTAGAACACATGGTCTAACAGTGTACCATAGTACATTATTAAAATCTGACACTGAGCATTTTGACCCTTGACGGAACGAGGTGAACTTAGCCTGCCTCTAAAGTTGCTTTCATATTGAAGGCCTTGTCTTGTGCAATTTCTTCCAATAAAGGGTCTCACAGTGATCCCGTAACAGGCTTGTTAATCCTTCAACTCCCAGAAGTGATCTACATATAACTTCTCCCTACTATATTCATACATTATGCAGCAAACAGGTAATGAGAATACTCAAACTTATCAGGTAGGAGTTGTTATCCTCCTCTTCCTTGGGAGGTCTGTTTTTTTTTGTTTGTTTTTTTTTTTAAGATAATTACATTTATGCATATTATCATGAGATCCATGAAATTTGCATAAAGGCCACCACAGTATTTGAGGGTAGATCGACCTGCTAACCAGTTGCTTTTGCTTCATGCCTTGTGAACAGTGATTTAGAGGAAAAGGCTGTTCTGTACTCCAATATAAACTAATAGATAGTAATTTAGTGTAAAAAGTTAACCATCATCCTTTGTTGCAATTTCTCTTTATACCTACTGTATTTCTAGTTTTAAGTTTCATTTAACAGGAGTCATGCAAAGCCATCACTGTTTTGTTTCTTTTTGATTTATCATTGCAATTTTGTCAACAAGATTTAGTATGGAAACCCATGCAATCCAAAAACAAATCAGATTGGATCATATTTTCTATTCATAATTGGTTAACTTTTTAAGCAGTTATTGGATGAGGTTGATGATGATATCAAAAAATATCAATGTTGAGGTTTGAGTTATCTGCCAAAGCCAAAGGCAGATAGTGCAGCCACAAAGTTTGATAATTCATGATATAATGTGAAAACCAAATTCAATTATTGATTTATTAAACATTTGAAAGCAATCTGCAAAAAAAACAAAACAAAACAAAACAAAAAATCACTTGGAGTTTGGAAAAGCTTGAGAATGTTACAGGGACAAGTGGCTTGGAAACTAGGCAAACTGGGTCATAATGGCAACTTCACAAACCATACATAGCATATTGACTGTATACTCTCGACTGATCAGAGTTTCTATAGTAAGTTTAATGCATAAGATCAGTTATTTACATTTATTCAACAAATGCTAATTAATATTTGCAAGTGAAATGCAAAATGGTGTGGTATTAGGGGTTCATACTATTGGGGTCGTGTTGAGTTTCATCGATTCTTTTAATAAAAAAGGAATCATGTTTTACCATTCTTATAAAATCAAGTCATTTTCAGACATTTAGTTTGTTTAATAAACATTTTTTTAAAAGAATATTTCATTTGGGAGGTTAAGCTAAATGTATTACATTCTCATAAGTGTTATTCCAGTCATATAAATCACAAATGGGAAATGGGTGGGAAATGTCAGTCAACCATGTTCTGACACTTTGAAGTTAATAGATCAACATTTTACCTAAAAGTTCAAGTTGTCAGGGTAAATTAGAGCCAAAGGAGAGTAAAATTAGTTAGATTTAGCAGATTCAAGTTACTGAGTTCCATGAATAAAGGGGGCAAGTTTCTAAAGAAATTGTGGTGCTGTGTTGATGGGAGCAACAAGGTAATTTTTTAAGCAATCTGCAAAAAAATACACTTCACTAAGAGTTTGGAAAAGTTTGAGAACACTACATGGATGAGGGGCTTTAAATTTGAGCCAAGGGAGAGTAATATTAGTTAGTGTTAACAAGTTCAAACAACTGAGTCACATGAATTAAGGGGGCAAGTTTCTAAAGAAACTGAGCATGGTGCTGCGTCGATAGGATCAGGAGTAACAAGGTCATTTGGGTTTTATTAACTCAGTTGATAATGTAATTTGGCCACTGTAAAGAGTTTCAAAGCTGACAATACGAGCATTATAGCCCTTCATCTTTCACTCTGATGAAGGGCTAATGTCAAAACATCAGCTTTGAAACTCTTTACGACGGCCAAATCACATTATCAACTCAGTTGATAAAACCCAAAGTAACTGAGTTCCACTTTGCTGATAGTAGATGACTTACAAATGGGGTCAAATTCAAGGAAAATTGATCTTATTAAGGTTTTAGTGGGGAGTTTGAGTTAATCTACATATAGTTTGAATCAGCAGGGTACTACTGTAGTATATTAACAGTCTGTTCACAAAACTCATGAATTTCCCCATAAACAGTTTCTTTCCTGGCTCATCTGAAAACAAAGTGTTATCAGATTGAATAAGTATTGATTTGGGAATTATTTACTTCAAATAAAAGGCATATTCTGATACATAACATTAAGTTATTTTCTATTCCAGCTCTTCAACATATGACACAAATCTTATTGTCTCCCTTAATCCTTTCACTGTCTGCACTATAAACAAGATAATGCAGACAGAGCTGAATAATGAAGAGCTATGTCAGAGGGTATGCGGTCAACAACATGGGCTCGTGTCTTGGGTCTAAAATTTAGCGAAATTAGCAGAAAATAATAAGGGTTGACTTTTAAAACCGAGGAACTCTGTTTTCATCGAAGGCACTTTCCTATTTCCAGAGATTTTAAGGAGAAAATTAATTTTTTTAAATTTTTAGGGAGTGTACCAAGTTTTTGGAGGTTGTTCTGTCAAAGAAAAGCAGCAAGGAAAATGATGCCTCGAAGCAACAGAATAGGAAATCAACCATGTGAACGACTCAAAGTCCATGTTTCCGTGGCAAAACCTAACACATGCGTATATGTTATTCAGCTCTGTCGATATTGCAAGGTTGAATTGTGCACTGTAAACAGAAGTACAGCACAGTCTCCAACACTCTCTCTGTGCCTTGGTGTAGCCACTTATTAAAAATTATATATTGTTCAGACACACACATAGATTCTTCATAGATGCTTCATAAAACATTTGACATCCACATGGAAGATCTACGGTACAAAAGTGATCAGGCTTGGTCGAAATACGAGTATTAAAAAGCTCAGTCTTGCTTAGAGTTCATAGTGTTTTGAGTGTAATTGTAGGGTTGGGTGAGACAAAAATTGTGGCTTCAACCTCTCAAAGTCAATTATCGTTCACCAATAATGATAACAAAGGTCCTTTGGTTATATTGATGATGAGATGAAGATTGCAGTCTAGCCTTCGTGGTTTGCAGTTAAATGGAGCTTGAGTCTTTGATATCATCACGAATTCCTTTCAAAATTCACCACTAGTTGTATCAAGAGCTGGTCGACCATAGATTATACACCTCTGAAAATATCCAGATTAATTGCGGATGCAAATATCGAGGTTTAAAGATTAAAGAAAGTTTCCTGTATTGTGCCACTTGAAAAAAAATACTTGTTCCTCAACCTTGTTTCTGCTTGTGAGTCTTGTTCAGTTTACATATGACTCTTAAAACTCCTTTTCTCTTGACGAACCTACATCCAGGACACATAAGCTTTAAAGCAGTACGTACTTTGTAATTTCGAACCGCCATCAGGGTGTACGCAAGACCATGTTGTCGAAAACTGTTTAAAATTCCTCTTGGTATAGAAAACATTCTGAATTTCGTGTAACAATATGGCGGTTCGATACTTAGCAGCCAGGCAGTCAGTTTCAGTTCTCTTGACCGCGCTGGAGCTGGACGAAAAGGACGGCGAACATACACGTCGGTATAGTGAAAATAATTTTTTTTTTTTTTACCATTTCTTATATGATCTTCTATTGTTCATGGCCAATGACGATTTAAATTCATTTCATCAAGGCTTCCCGAATGTAAGGACCTCCATTTTATTGGTTTGATTTTTTTTCTAAGAAGAAAGATCAATCCTCCCGGGTTCAAAGGACAATAATATTGATGATATGTAAGCGCCTTCCAGGGAAGGTTTTTTAATTCCTACCTTACAAATATTGGACAAAAAGGCGGAGGGGGGCGGAGGAGGGGTGTGCATGAAGTAGATAAGATTGAAAGTATGAACACGATTGACGATAATTAAGAATTTATTTCATAACGGTTGATATGCCAATTATTCAGTGATGTCACGAAGCTAAGCTAATTGCCCATGCAAAATCATAATTACTGGTTTAACCGGAGTCCTGTCAAAAGCAGGCATTTTCTTTGCAACCAGTGTTGGTCAATTTTCAGGACAGAATGCAAGGCGAAGAGAGTGAACCAAACTCCAGCTCACCTGCAACTGACGGCCCTGTCGATCCCAAACGGGAGGCCGAATCTCAAAATGATAATTTTGCCAGAAAAGACGGAAAAGCGGTTCAAATAGGGTAAGATCCTTTGAAACTAAGCCGTCCGAAACTTTATGTCAGTTTCTAAGGATGGGTTCTAAAATTCCGAAGTTGCTGTTTAAATCGATGCTTTCCAAAAATCGATTTCTTCTCTATAACACGACTTAACTACAATCTGATTAAGACAATTACAGAAATGGTTAACACCATCGAAACTTATAAGCCCAACACCAAATAAGATTAAAACGATTTTCACACCGTGAAATGAAAATTGCATTCCAAATATTGAATAAGCGAATTCCACAGTAGTCTAGAAAAAATTACTGCAACGAAACTTTAACGAGGGATTATGATGGTCTAATCGTGGAAAAGTTTTCTTAATACCTGCCGCGAAATGATAAGCTTTTCATTCATTATTTTTGTTTTTGATTAACGCTTCATTTCCTTTTTATTTTTCGGATCAAGTCACGTGATTTTACTTGACAACCACTAGCCTCCTTGGTTACATTGCAGGAAGAAACGAATCACATTGGCGGTAAACTTCAACATGTCTCAGCAACAGTACAAACTTGCTCGATTTGCAAAGTACGGTCCACCGCCCCTGACTCAAGAGCAGAAACTGAAGAAGGAGAAAGGTTTTGTTCTCGATGCTCTAGCGGTTAGCACTCTATCAGATGACTCCGGCCGAGCTAATCCGAAAATGGCGACAGCCATTCCACCGTACAATGCTCAAAAGGACAGGCATTCGAAAGGATATTTTGAAAAACCTGATGTCAAAAAGCTTTTGAAAAAGACAGATCAGGTAAGAATAAGCCTCATTTTATATTCTCACTTCAGTTTAATTCATCGGATTTGGTTATGGTGGTTTAAACGTGGGGACTGTTTGTAAACAAGAGTACTTTGTGAATAGCTAATTAAGACACAGTGAGCAGTACAGTTCGCACGCCTAGCAGAAACTCGAAAATAATTTGTTAATGATCTTAAACCAAATCAGTAAAACTTTCCAGTAATGCCAATTTAATCCTAGCAGTCAATAATGTAGTCAGATAATTAAACCTAATGCTACGATGAGCTCTAAAACTTTTTCAATGCGGTATCGTTCTGCTATTTGAGATGCGATTTATTTCTTTCTCATAGTTTACATTTTTATCATTCTCTTATTTCTTCTGACTTAAACTGGGTTGATCTTAAATCACCATACAAACAACAATCACATCCGAATACGGATAAATTCTAGGAGGTTATGTCATTTTAATAAGGTCGCCTTTGACTTGACATTAATAGAATTTACAGTGCAGTAAAGACAATTATTCAATGGTGTGTCGATCGGTGGAAATCCGAGGTTTACAACTTCCTCGCAAATTCATAACTTCCTCTCGACCAAACTAGGGCAAAAATGATATTGGTCATAAGATTTTTATTAAACATGATTATAGTTATAACACCAGCTTGTCCAATTTGAAGAAATCCCTATCTTTGGATTTACTAAGCGAGAGAAGAAAATTCCATCGTTTACAAATTTTCCATAAAATGTGTATTGCTTTGCCTATCCCGTCTTATTATCAATTGTCCATTAGGAAAACTAGAAATTACTCGACGAATTCATTTATTCAACCACCTGTACATCATGATTACTACAAGTATAGTTTCTTTCCGAGAGCTAGAAGGGACTGGAACTGTTTATCACCTGGAACTAGATCACTTAATTATTCAACTTTTTGCAATACAAAATTTTTCTAAGTTTTTATTTTTTAAGCATAGCTATATCGTTAATTACATATTTTATTTATTTTTTATTTATTATTTTTATTAGCTATGTTTATATTTTTATTCTTTTATCTCTTCTTGATGTGTAATAGCCTTGAAGAGTAATAAAGTAGATGTAGAAGATGTTCTACATTTTCCCATGTTCAAATGACATCATTGTACTTTTGTGTCCTCATTGGCTCCTTAATTGCGACTTTTGCTCCGATTGGGCATTTAATTGTGGCTACTTGGTTTTTACAACACTTAATTATTCTAACATGATCTTCTGCATGCTGTACATCTATAGTCTTGCATAATTATTATTTCTCCAGTTATCCTGGCCCACCTGACTGAGCTTTGTGAGTCTTGTTTACATCACATGAAACAATCAGAAGTATTCTCACTCCTCTGAACTGCAGAGGATCCATGCCTGTCTATGTAGGATCCCTTCCTTCCCTCACCATTTTTTTAGCTCTCCTAACAATTTCCCATAACCTTTGTAGGCCGGTGACATAAAAACGTAAAGTCAGCAATCAACTACAAGCATATTAGGAAGTCTTTGCTTTGTTATTTGCTTCATGATAAATGTGATTTAAGGCCTTGTTAATTAATAAAGTGACATTTTACTTCTTCTTTCTGATTCATTTACAGCTTAATTAAATCAAGCAGATCCACCACTAGAGCCCATTATTCAATAAATCCACAAAGCAATTAATAGTGACGTGCATGTGTGTAACGTGATAGCTTTTTCAATATATACATTTAACTTTGTTGAATCCTTGCTTTTTCAAACCTAAAAGATTTTTATTTTACACTTGTAACAGTATAACACAAAGGAAAAGTATAGCTCTGAATAACAAAGACACGTCTTTTGTCTCGGCATGCATGAGCGAATAAATTGTGTCAATGCAGGTAACATACATCTGAGGTAGTATGGTAAGAGGCTCTTGTCAACATCTGTCAGGTTTCCATTGCATGAAGCAGCTACAGATATTGATACTCCTCCCTGGATGGAATGGTAGTCTATCGCAGGTTATCCTGCACCCCTCACTTGGGTCTTGAACTGGGAAACTCTTCAACTTAATTTCAGCATTCTATTGGTTGGGTACCATGTTTGCCATGGTGGGTAGGGAGAGGGCAGAAAGACATTTAAGAATCTTGTATAAAAACACTTAGCACCAATTGCAAACAGGTCTCAAACCTATAATTATATTTAAATCAAAATCACACACTCATCTGTGTCACCCATTACTCAGTTGTCTAGACCCTATTTTGTTGTAGGAGTATCCTGGTGACTCAATAGCAGGCAAGCAAATGGACAAATTCTATGACAAAGGCATGATGGGTGACTACATCTGGCATCGCAACACTGCAGGGGCTGGTAAGTTCACTACAGGCAAGACGCTCCACTTGCAGACAGTATGTGCCTTGTGACAATGGCCACCTGGTTTCCATAAGCCTTTTTTTTTCCAAAAATGAAAATGATCTTAACTCCAGATTTGAGGTTCATCTTACATTCCTATCTCCCCTTTATTGTCATCTCTCTTAAGCAGCTACTTCCCTCTGTTCTTAAGGTAGCTATTTTGGACACGTTTAGGTTTGACTATGTGCATTTTGAGAAAACCCTTTGGGATGCTTGCTGTCATATTTTGTTACTTAAAAAATTCAATCAGATGTGAAATGCAAAAAATTATTGTTTATACTACATGTATGTCTAATGCAATTAGGAATGTGCAGGAAGTCATTTTAGTTGAATCAAGGATGTTCAGATTGGTTTGTCTTCAAGGTTCAATTTGTCTTTGACTGGTCAACATCATGATAACACTTCTGAAGAGCTAGCCTCAGCTCTTTAAAGAGTCTCTGAGATCCAGCTTTGAGAGTTTTGTTGGAATTGGCAGCCCCACAATATTCAGGAAGCTTATTTTTCCATTACTTTCTTTTCACATCTGAAATTGCCAGAGGAAAAAAAAACCTAGGACAATTTACCCAGCTTTACTTTTTCTCTTTACAATTTACATTGTACTTTTTGTGATGAAAAGTTATCAGTATTATGTGAAGCAATGATTTTTATATTCATTAAAATTCATTTCTCCTCTGCTAAAGGACATTCAACAAGTCAAGTGGGAGGTCATGGATTGTTCATGGAAAACATTTCTCCTCTTAATGGTTTCAATGGTTGTTTTGGATTTCGTAGAAACACTCCTTCACTCCGAACTCACCCATCAGTTTTCATAGGTAAAATATTATTTCCTTATAATATAGTTTCCTTTGCATGCGAACATCATTATCCATATTTCGAATCCATACTCTCCTCTGCACATTTCTTTTCAACTGGTAATTACAAGGAGAATTTGTTTCACATTTAAAGCTTCTTGGGTTGGCAATCATTTCCTTTATTCTCATACATGACTGTTAGTGAATTGTTCAGCAGTATTGCTTTAAAGAAAAAGTAAATGCTCTTGGGGTTTGAGGGTAAGTTGATAGTATTCTGTAAAATAATCCTTCCCCTTTATACACACACAAACACTCTACTTTGGGAATCAGACGTACTATTTTTTGGTTTTCGTAGAAACTTATTAAAAGTCTGCTAACTCTCCTCCAGAGTAATTTAATTTCCCCTTGACCCTTCTTCAGTGATAATGAGTGTATTTTTTTTTTTGTCACATGCTGATTATCCTTTTAAAATACCAATTGAGGAAGCTGTAACAGCTAGCACTCTCTGAGCATGTTTGCATGCTTTAAAACTGTGAGTTGCACATTTAACCCTTTCATTTCCAAGATCTCATCAGCAATTCTGTTTACTGTCTGGCATTCAATTCTTTTGATGTTTGTTCAGAGAATAATCTAATAATCTACTTATTGATATCCTACTTTAATCTCGTTACTTGTCTCCTTGATATTGTAAGGAGAAATTCTGTTTTGGTCACTCATGGGAGTGAAGGGGTTAAGATATGTCTCAGGAACTCAGGATTTACAGTTATCTTTAGTTGTAATCACATCATTGGGATGAGAGGGATCTTGGAAAGACTTCTGCTAGTGACTGACATTTTGACAAACCAAGGTTAATTCCTCTTCAGAGTCGAGTCTCGACAGCTGCCTGTGATTCTGATGATGACAGTCATGCAATTTTTTCCCTCCGATTGTTGCAACAGTTACCTCAGTTTCTTTCACCAACATTTCTATTTTGTGCATCATTCCAACTAGTTTGCTCAGAAGGCAAGATCCAATCATGGTTAACATACAAAATTTTTTTTTTTCTTTTTTTTTTTTTTTTAAATAAAAGTCCATAATATTATTTAAAGCTATTTCAAATTTGCATTGTTATTTTGTTTTGGACAGGGAAAATTGACAGCCGCTCTGTAGTTCCATGACAAGGCTGTCACAATCTTTCAAGTATAGAGATTGACGAGATAACTGGTGTGCCTAACCCAAGGCATAGAACTGGTATAGCTTTGATGCCCAAGTGTGACTGAATTTCTATTCATAGTAATATATTTATTGATATTTGTACCTCAAAGTTGGTCAATCAGAAAGCAGCAGTGTCACTGCATACAGTTTGGAGAGGGGTTCCAAGAACTCAGGCAACCAAGGACATTTTTAACCTGTTACTGACCACATAATTATGTTGGAGTGACCACAAATAATTCCGTGCCATGGAAACTTACCTGAGTTCAAGCTTTTTTGTCTTGGAGCTCTGTCCTTGGTCGTCCCAGCCAGTGCAAACTTCAACATAATGTGGTTATCTTGGCCAACTACGTATTCTATGACTTAAAAGCCTTCTTTTACAGGGATGTTTGAAGCATAAACCTTTTGAACCACCCCCCCCCCTCCCTTACAAGTGACCATAATGTAAATTCCTCTGACAATTTCAATATGCTATAAGGCTGACAGAGTTTAGACAAGTCTAAAAAGAAAGTTTTGGCTCTCAACTCTCCCATCTGGTTACACAGTGATTGTCTCCCTCCTTAGGTTGGTCAGGTGGATTACCATAACTTCAGAAACATTGCTAAGATTTTGCCACTGTGCAGAATTAAAATAAATAACTTTGGGTCATCTAACATGTTTTCAAAGTGACCAAGTATTATGGTGTCAGGCCCACAACGATCCTTTTATTGCCCCAATTGGAAGTCACATAATTAGCGAAATCAATATGGCTATTTTTAAGTTAAGGGCTTAAGTATGTGGAGCACACAGCACAATCTTAGCTTATCTGCAAGCCCCATGCTTTGGAAAATTTTTGTAAAAAAGTGTGGAGAAAAAATAAATGTATTGCCAACATTTGAGAGAAAAGGTTGTTGATTGTTCTGAAGATCTTTAATACAGCCAGAGGTTGCTAGGGAGGTAAAATACCAACTTCTCCAAACAGGTAAGGTGTAATGTCAAGCACTGTCAAATTCTATATAAAAAAATAAATAATAATAATAATAAAAAAAAATAACAGGTAAGGTGACCTAGAATAATTGCTTTCTTCCTGTGAACTAGGTAAATACTATTTCCTTTTTCTGCCCTGATGAAGATCAATTTTCATAGCAGACTGGGTGTAACAATTGTCAGGAAGCTTTCATCACTCTAACAGTTAATATCCAAAGATCTGAAGACACAAGAGAAGATAGGAAATGCAAGTAACTAAAATTCATATATAATCAACAAAACAGAAATGGCTGGTAAATTTTTATGACTTTATGACAAAAGTAGAAGTTAAAACTAAGACAAGTACATTCATAAAAACTGTCTTTGTTGCATTTCACTCCTGATGCTGTACACACGTTAAGTATCTTACAAGATTGCGTTGTTTGCTGTTGGGGAATTTAACATTCACTGCCTTAAGCTCAATTTACAACTGTGTGTAATGATACAAAATGTACGTGTATTTGTTGCCAAAGCATTTGATTGTCACCCCCACAAGTGGGTTCCTGCAGCACTGTAACTACAAATAAAATTTTGAAGGCAATTAAATTTACCTCATGTCATGAATGTGAGACTGAAATCTTTGTTTCATTGCCAGAAAATTAAGCTTAAGCAATTAACCCTGTAACCTACAATGTCATCCCTGAATTACATGTTACGATCATGTGAGTAAAGGAAATCATCACCAACTAAATAACCACTGATCATTATACAAATTCTCTTTGTCAGCACCCTAAGAAATGCATAGAGAACAGTTTGGAGAATATGCATACTGATGTTGGAGTGTAAAGGACTGATAACAGGTTTGACACCAATGTGTTTAATGATTGTTAGCGAAAATTGGAAAGTACAATTTTTACCTCATGGTCAGTCAACTTCAATTCAATCATTCTTTTCTCTGGAGACACTAAAAGGAAATTTATCCTGATAAGAAAATACTTGATGCCTTGATTTCAAGACCAAATTCTCAGAGTGAACATTGTAAGAAATGTATGGCTAATAGGGTAGAGAATTTGTATTAAAATCTTGGAAGTGAAAGGGTTAAGTACAAGGTAATATCTTAAATAGTAATTATTGCATCACAAATACATTTCATTTAAAATGTCCTATTTTTTTGGAGCAACAAATTTTGCATTTTACGTAATCTGATTGTTCTGTAACACAAAAATGCCTCTTTTCCAAATAGAAGTTTTGTACGGCAGCCATGTTGGATGGCAGGAACAATGAATATTTTGCATAAGAAAGAAAAATTTTTCCCATAGGTAAAATAATCTACTCTTCCTGCCATCCAACATGGCTGCTGTGCAAAACCTCTATACTCAGGCTACTATAATTATAATTACAAAGTGGAGGGGATGTTTTCTACAAAATTCCCCCTCCCACTTTTCTTTGTCTAAGATTTTAATTTATTAACAAAAAGTAGTAAGGGCTCTTTTGATTTACAGGAACTAGCCAGTAAGACTGGTCAGTCTATAAATGAAACAGAAAAGTTCTGAAAACTGGGAGAGTTGGAACTGGCACAGCTGACTCTATCTTTTTTAGCTGGGTTAGTCAGATTTTAGGCTCCTGTCCAGACTACATCTGAAATGATCACAAGTAATTAGCATGAATTTACTAATTATGAGAAAGGGACTTCTGCATTTCATTTACACCCTGTTTCTTTCCAGTTCAACCAGACCTGATGAACAAAAACAACACTTACTATTGATCAGTCTGCTTACATCTAGACTTAAAATATGGACATGGCACTGCCAGTTGCTTGACCTCTTGAGTTCTGACACATCTCTAAGTACCTTTCTTCCTCACGTAGAGAGTTCAGTAAAGTATTCATATCGTTAACCACCATATTCCCATTTCCGACAAATTCTGACACACCACCATTTTCAGTGGATAGCAATCCCATCCCTGACACCATGTCATCTATTTCATGATTTGCCATGTCACACTGGGTCTTCTGAGCTGGGGTCTGCACACCTGAAGTACCATATGCTGCATTCTCTGAGGGTGGGTAGAAGCCACCACTGACATCTGGTATATTAAGCAGTTGTTCACTTCTGTAGCTAGACTGTGGCCACTGCACTTCTAGAGAATTTCTTTCAAGGTATGGCTGTGGTCGATGATGCACAGTCTGTAAACAGGGTTGATGGGGTTGCTGAGCTGCCTCTTGTTCTTCAGGATATGGGTAGTGCCGCAATCGTTGGGTCTGATGAGATCGAGGAACTGACATACCCTGACATACCGAAGGAGGATGTGATGGAGGGGTTGGTTCTAACTGCCCTTGCTCTTGTCCATTTAGATATGCATCAAACTCTTGTGGATCTACAGCCCCACAGATTAGTTCTGTTTCATTTACATTTGGCATTGGTGTCACTTGTCTGTTGACTGGGCCATTTAGAGGCTCCAGCCTACCCATGTGTACTCTTGACTGCCTGATTGGTTCACTACTACGGCGCTGCTCACCTTTTCCATTTTGGGGCAGGTAACTCCCAGAACTATCTGCCTCGCATATCACAGTGTCACTTTTCCTTCTGTTTGCAGCATGGTTGCAAGTATTTCTCTGTGGTAGTAAATGAGATGACGGTGGGATCTTGTGGAAAATGGGACTTCGAATAACTGCCAAGTTTGACTGACTTCCATAACCACTGCTATTACGGCTCAGTCTGTTGTATGGTGCACTTTGATTACTGCAAGTACTTGTCTCACTGGTACGGCGAAGAGTGTCCTCACTGCCATCAAAAGGATGAAGACGTGGTCTGCGATGAAGAGGAGTCACCCCAGTAGGTACAGGTGGGGCACACCCATTCGGATAATGCGGTATAACCTCCTGAGGTTGAATATTTGTGGTTGGAAAGGGGCTAGCCTGGCTAGATCTACGACTCCCATAAGAAGACCAACCACTTTCTTGGCTAGACCTTCTGCTTGCATCACCAAGCTCCCCAGATAAATGGCTGCCATCACTTGATCTTCGCGATGTTTGGCTCATTCTGCGGTGAACATCACTCACCCACTGAGCAACGTCCCTTTTGTGAACATCAATTTTGGGAAAGTTGACACTCGGTGCTGGTGGTCTGACCTCTTGTGCAGTAGCCACAGCACCATTCTCTCCAGGCTCCCAGTCTCCTTCTATGATATCTGGAAGTTGGCTAACGAATGGAGGACTTCTTGGGGATATCCCCAAAGTGGAATTGCCCACACTTCTTGGACCCTCCAGGTTGGATGGAATGTCAAGGCCTCCTGGGGTTCTTTCACAGCTTGAAGACACAACATCCCCATCAAAGCTACTGCCTACAATTGTTTGGGAGCAGCTTCCAGCTTGAATCACACTACCTGCACTGCTTGATCCATCTTGTCCAGGCGACATTGGTTCTTCAACATGATTGCTCATTGGATGTGAGGCTTGTGTACCACTGCTAGATGTATTGGAGCTTTGGCCCCTGTCAGAGGATACATTCCCTTTTTTGTCCGAGTTGGGTGGTGGCTTTTCTCTACTGCCTTCTGCTTTCAGCTGTTTTAATGAAAAAGGATCCACAATAAATGGTTGAGTGGATCTTACAGGAAACTTGTAATAAGTCTGTAAGACTCTTATAGTTACATTCATTAAAGGCTTAGAAGCCACTCTTTTTTACAACCCATGATGTATGCAATCCTATTTCTGCCCTGAAGAGGCTGTTTTACACTTAAATTTTAAATGGTCCATTTTTCATTGTTTTGATCAAACGGAGGAGGGCATGGTCCAAAAAAAATTGCATTTAATAAGCATATGGTCAATCAAGAATTTCTTCTAACAGATAATGAAAGAGTGACCTTAAGTACAGAAGAGTGATACTAAGCCAGCACTTGACATGGATTCTTGTACCAGCAAGTATGAAATCCATAAAAGATAGATATCTCAATTCTTCAATACTTAATTTCTAGCGACATGCATTCTTTTCAAGTGCAACAGGCTAGCTGTCACTGGCCATTATAAGAGTAGCACAAATCTTATTTACCCTCTTAATTCCTTGTTCTCCGTGGACCGTTTTTGTATGCTTCCTCAGTGAGCTGGGATCTGTGTACCTTTTTGGACAGCCTGGTACTTTACAGACGTAAGGTTTCTGTAAGGAACAGCAGGTACCTTCATATTATTGTTCAATCCACGTATGTTCAAGTCATAAAAGTTTCCAAATTTCTGACCAATGATAGAAATCAAAAAAAGCAGTGTATATTATTCTTGTAGTGTTTAATATCTGCACACTTACCACAGAAGAATGTGTCCTATTTTGATGCTTGGCTCTGTCAGAAGCATTAGAGAAAGCTTTATTGCACCCTTCCACTTCACAAACATATGGCCGCTCTCCAGTATGCGAACGGAGGTGAGTTTTGAGATTCTCAAGTCTGGAGTAAGCCTTGGTGCAGCCTTCATACTAGAGATGGAGTAGCATTGTTTCAAGAACTGTTACTTTGACTTAGCATATTTCTAACAATGTCTACCCATTATCAATATACATTTTTAGGCAATTATCTCTTTAGTGGCTGGAATGACCAATGACTTATCACTCCTTCATATCAATACACAATCAAGAAAAAAAAAGGTGATTATAGAACAAAGAAAATATCAACTTCCTTTATGGAAGGTTGATTGATTGCACAGCAATTTCTCGCAACTCAGAAGAGGAAAAAAGGGGATAGGTTGCCTGATCCTACCCTGCTACCCTACAACTGAGTGATGACTAATTAAGACAAGCAGTTTTCTACACATACATAAGCTCATAAAAATATTAATGGCATCAGTTGACACTAATTTGCTACAACTATTACCTAGTTGTGCTAGTTGAGCTTAGAAATGAAGGTGTGTATGTGGGCCTTGTAGCACACTGATACAAGTTTCATGTAACACAGTGTAGACAACAGTTCTATTAAAATTAAAATAAAAAAGCTATAAAATAAAACTATAAAAAACTATAAAATTTCCTTCTTTAGACTTACAGTGCATTTATGTGGCTTCTCCCCTGTGTGACGCCGCATGTGTACAACCAACATGTACTGAGCTTTAAAGGGTTTCTTCTCTCTGGTGCAGCCATCCCAATAGCAAGTGAAGTCCTTACGATCTTTCTTGATGTGGTCAGTGTTGACATGTTTGACCAGCTCATCTTGTGATTCAAACAGCTTTTGACATTCCTTCCAATAGCAAGTCAAATCACGCTCTTGATCCTGGTCCCCTTGATTCTCTTCTCCTTCGTTATCTGAGCCTTCCTGCTGTTATGTAAAGAATGGTTAAGGTTTGCTCTTAAAGGCAAAGTGGCCCACAAATAATGTCAGAGATGAAGGGGAGTATAATCATTCTGGCTGCTGAAAATCGAAGTGAAATGCTTCCACCCTTCTTTCACTGATTGTGGTTACATTTTTGAACTCAATTAATCCTTCAGTGAATACCTTTTATATGCACATTATGAAATCAAAAGTAAAAATTACCTGAAAGCTTGGTCTACATTGACTGCAGAAATGAACTATTGATTGATTGTTAGGTAAAATCTTTCTTTTTTTGCCACACCTACATGAAGGATTGCATTGCAATTTTAATTACATTCATATTTCAAATATCAGTTGCAACTGCATGCCAAAGACCACTTGATAAGGTGATAATTACTTATGCCTGAATTTGTGGTTTCATGATAAAACCCAGAGTACTTTTCATTGAGCCCAAATATGCATCACTGACTCCTCTAGCTTGTAATTTTCAAACTTTCTCATGTTCTCTCAAAATCCCATGTGGGTTATTAAGCCAGCAAACTGATAGAAAGTGCAATCTATTGCAGACAGCTTGAACAATCACCATGCACAATTAACTATAGCAAGGACATTTAAATTATTAGTTTGAAATGACTGAACTGGTGCCTTGCACTGATAGATAGATAGATAGATAGATAGATAGATAGATAGATAGATAGATAGTTAGATAGATAGATAGATTAATAGATAGATAGTTTATTTATATAACTTTGGAACCCAAAAGTTGAATTACATCATATTTACATGGTAAAAAAAATATATAATTATATTTATTAAAAACTAGATCATTGGATAATGTAATTCAAGACTTTTTATTGGCTTAGCCATTATGGTATATCAGCCAATATACCATAATCTACAAATATGGCAAGCGTACGTGTCAGCTTAAAATTAAAAGGGAGCTTAACATTTAATAAAATTCAATAATTTAATTTCACATTTTTAATAAAACAATTATTCCACCCATGCTTGTTGGATATGAGATGATTATAGCCAACTTGGCGCTATGCGCCTCGCTGGCTATCTATCATCTCATATCCAACGCACGCTCATGGAATAATTGTTAAATATACATATATATATAAATCCCTACATAGTTAACGGGATTAA